TAGCATCTTTTTGTCATGGAGGGATCTCTTGAGGTCACGTGTGTGAGTTTTTCCCTCCAGTACTGCCCTGGAGCTAAGTCGGGAAAGTAGCTATGACCACCCTACTTTAATTATCAGTGAAGGAAGAAATTTTCTGATAAATGTTGATGCCGTGTTAGTGTCCATCCTGTCAGTGAGCCATCACATTGTTTGCTTAATGTTACCTTCCATGTTCTCATCAGATGCAAAACAGCTCTTAAATTACAACTAGTCTCTCACCTTTATTGTGAAGTTTTGCTCTGGACAAATTTCACAGATCTAAAGTACCTCTGTAGGACAAGAAGTATGGAATAAAGATAGGCCTTTTCCTCAGTTTTTTTTTTTAAGTTTATTTATTTTGAGAGAGAATGAGCATGATTGGGGGAGTGGCAGAGAGAAAGAGAGAGGATCCCAAACAGGCTCTGTGGTGTCATCACAGACACCCCACATGAGGCTCCATCCAACAAACCATGAGATCATGACCTGAGCTGAAATTGAGAGGTCCAGCTGAGCCAACCACCCAGGCACCCCTCATTTAGTTATTCTTAAGAATTTTTTAAAATATTTTTTTACGTTTATTTGTAAGTGTACACACAAGTGAGTGGGGGAGTAGCAGAGAGAGGGAGACAGAGAATTCCCAAGCAGACACAGGCTCCATGCTATCAATGCAGAGCCTGACATGGGAGCTTGAACCCATGAATTGTGAGAACATGACCTGAGCCAAAATCAAGAGGTGGAAGTTCAACCGAAATGAGCCACACAGGCACCCCTGGTTATTCTTAAGCATTTTAAAGAGATTCTTTTTTTGTTTGTTTAATGTTTATTTTTGAGGGAGAGAGTGAGCCGGGGAGGGGTGGAAAGAGGGAGACACAGCATCCAAAGCAGGCTCCAGGCTCCAAGCTGTCAGTGCAGAGCCTGACACGGGGCTCAAACTCACGAACTGCAAGATTATGACCTGAGCCAACGTTGGACACTTAACCGACTGAGCCACCGAGGCGCCCCAGAATTTTAAAGAGATTCTTAACCTGACTTATATGATAATTCATCCCTATGTTTTTGGTATTAGAGAGCACTAAATTCATGATATTTGAAAAAGAGAGTACACTTGACAGTTCTTTTTTTAACCTTCCATTTTTAGACTAGAAGGCAGTGCTTTTGAGTGAAGATACAGACTGACTTAATTTTGTAATGGGAGGAAGAAATATTCTTAGAAAATTTTGTTTTTTACCTATGAAATACAATGAGTTGTAAAAATGGTAATACTGTTGTCAAGGAAACAGCCAGGCAGTCATGTTGGGAAGAATGAAGACTGGTTATACACTTTCTGGAAAACATCGGCACCTTAAATGTTTCAAATTCCTTGATCAGTTTTTCTAAGGAATGATCATAAATGTAGACAAAGTTTAGGTAGAAACATACTCATTAAGTCTTATACCAACTAAATGCCTTGTGCAGAAATAATTAACTTTTGATAAGGATAAATGGTACAATATTTATCAATTCAGTGTAACATCTGTATAGTCATTGAGTACCTGTTATGTGTTAGGAGAAAACAGCAGAATACAGAGTTGTAGGTATGTTGTGATCTCAGCTTTGAAATAGACAGTACACGTATTAACATAATGTAAAGAAAACAGCCAAACATTAACAATAGTAGGAGTGTTCTATGTGCTTTTAATTCTTTTTGCACCCTAGTAGGTTTTCATGATTTTCTGATTTTCTGCAATGATCGTATTACTTGCATAACTTAAAAAGTGAGGTTGAAAAAAGAAAAATTTCCACTAAGCATCCCATTGGAGTAAAGGTTTGTAATCTTAATATATAGCAATACGTGATTTTAAAAAACCAAAATCTTTCAAATGGGTGTGACCCTGCTAGTAACTATTAGAAATATACTTGTAGAAACTTGGAGTATCTCAGGTCAGTTTGCCTTGAAAAAAGTTCAATATAGATCTCAGAGAAACACATAAAAGAATGGTTCATTATCTTTGAGTAGGAGGATCCCTCCTCAGTTTTATATTTTAAAAAGTGTATTTGGTAAAAAAATTCAAAACAGTATATAGAAGGCTGTAAGATGAAAATGTAGTATCTTTCCTTGCATCTTACCCCCAGTCCTGTTCCCCAGAGGTAACCTCTAGTCACATTTTGTAATCTACAGAAAAACTTTATGCATATACAAGCAAATAATGTGATCTTTATTTTGTAACAATATTATATGTTCTGTATCTTGCTCCTTTACTTACACAGTCTTGAAGATCTTTTCCCTGTCAACACATAACTACCTCATTCTCATTATTAATGGCTGCGTAGCAGCTTACTTATAAATATACGCTAACTTAACCATCCATTTTCTGGTGGCATCCATTGGTTATTACAGGGTTTTGTTTTTGTTTTTCTATTAGAAATATTGCTATAGTGAGCATCTTTGGGACGGTATCTGTCTTCTTAGCTGTGAAAATATATCTGTAGGATATGTTTGGATAATTGAGTCATTGAGTATTTGTAATTTTGAATTGTAAGTGATGCTGCCAGATTGCCTTCTTTAAAGGTTCTTGGAATTTAGCCTCCCACCAGCAGTGACTGAGAATGTTGATTTCCCCACATTCTTACCAACACTGTTACACTTTTTCATCTTTATCCGTGGTAGATGAAAAATTATATGCATTGTGTTGATCACAAATGAGGTGGGACATCTTTTAATATTGGTTACTTCAATTTTCTGAGAAATGCCTGTATTTGCCAATTTTTATTTTTTCATCTTCATTGATTTTTAAAAATTCCGTGTATATAAGGAAAAATAGCCCTTTGTCTAGCATATGCTATAAATATTATTCCCTCTTTTATCTTTTGACGAGTATGTTGGTTGTTAAGTTTTTGCCACAATATTCACGTGATCAGATTTATCGGTGTTTTTCTTGATGGTCTCTGGGTCCTAAGTCTTGCTTATCAATACCTTTCTTTAAAAATTAATTTAAAAAAAATCACCCAGCTGTCCTAGTATTCTCCTAGCCTTCCCTGTGGCTAACATCCTCAGGAGCTAACCTCTTGACCCCACCACCATTTATGAACTACTCCCATTTCCCCCCCTAATGTGGCATGCCATCGTTGTCATGTACTTAATGCTCACATGTAGTTGGTTTATTATATACTCTCTTCTTTTGTTGCTCTTTTCTCCCTCTGCTACCAAGCTGTTTTTGACAACTAACTTCATAATGTTTTGGTATTCTTTTTTTGCCCAGATTATTCTGGCTCTTTATACATTTTTTGTCCCCAAAAAAGTAACACTGAATTTAAGATTTAGATATAATTGACCACTTATATAATACTGAGTCTTTCTGCCTAAGAAGTATTTTTAATATCAGTTTTAGAACCGTCTTTACCCTCGGAGAAAAATGCTTGTATACCACAAATTGTCAGGTTGGGGCCCCTGGCAGTGAAACATTGGATAGGAATTTTCTACGGATACACCAAATTCAGGGAAAGAATGCCTACAAGAAACAAAATTTCAGGTATGATCACTTATTTATTTATTTATTTATTTATTTATTTATTTAAAGTAGACCCCACCCCACATGTGGGGCTCAACTCATGACCCTGAGATCAAGAGTTGCATGCTCTACCAACCAAGCCAGCCAGGCCATCCCGTAATCACTTTTTTAAATCTAGTTGAAAACCACACTTTATTTTTAAATAACATTCTCCAAGATATCTAGAAAGAATGTATAGACCAAATAGGTTTTAAAGTATTCTATACTGAGATTATCTTATTATTATTAGCATATTTGAGGGGAACTGATAAAGACCACATCTTCCTGTACTCCCACCACTACTCTGGGTGTGTTTTGTAAATAAACACACAAAAGGATCAGGTGTGCTTTCTATGCCTGATCTCCAAAATGTGCTTGCTAGAGACAGTGAGACATGGTCCTTTATCCTCAAGAAGCTGAGAGTAGAGAAATATGCATCTCCAGCATAACATGGACTAGCTGTAATAGGGGGTATTTACAAGCCAAGTAAAGGGAGAAGTGTTTTGGGGATTCAGGGAAGCTGTGCTGAGGGAAAAATGCATTATTTGCACTGAGACTTGAAGGCATTTCAGGAGAAAGGGCATCCTAGGGAGAAGAATGCTATTTGCAAATACACAAAGGAAGATGAGCTAGTCAAGGACTTACACGAGGTTCAGAATTATCACAGATTGAGAGAGGAAGAAAGGAAACAGGCTAAGTGAACTGAGGGCAGATCACCTGGGCCTTGTAAGCCATACTTGGGTCCTTAGAAGTAGTCCTGGACAGGGGAGAGACAAGAAAGACAAAAAGGTGGCTATGATGGGGATAAAGGATCATTCAGAGGTCATCTTTTTTTGTATGTTAGGGTCTCTGCCAGTGGAATATATAATGTAAGCAGAAAGCCTTGATCTGGTGGAAAAGCTTAGAAGCCCCAGAGAGCTTGTGTGACTGCATACCTTCTGTGGAACCTCCCCTCTCAAGGAGAAGCAGCCATAGGACCTAGGACACAGCTCACAGTACCATTTTTCTTTTCTGAGCAACACAAGGTATGAGGCTGAGAGGGAGTCTGAAGACAGGGCAGGAGATGACATTGGAGTCCATCTACACAGTGGAGTTGATTTCTTGTTTAAAGGACTGCTCTAGTTTTTACTCATATTTCCACCTTTAAAGTTTCTGAACCTTAAAACAGCCCAGTTAAATTAAGTGGCTCACAGACCCACCAGATGAGTTCAGTGCCTGCACCTCTGCATGGCTCAGGGTCTTCAATACCTTAATGAATTCCTGATACTGGGACAGGATGCAGATATTTACATTTTCATTAGGGACTGGAGAGCCTTCAAGATTAGTCTCCAACAGTGCAGAAGGCCTTCATGAAGAAGTCTGCTATGGGCAGAAGATCCTAGGGAGTTTTGTGGGCAGCGAAGGCATACAAACTATATTTGTTTTGCAGAACTGGAGTAGGTGGGAACTCATGGGTCAGAATGCAGAAAGAGTGTTCAATTCCTGTTGGCCTGGTTGTGTTTTCCCTTGCTTGGAGCGCTTACAGTACTTGTATGACAGAAATGTCACACAGCAGACGCCAAGAATCCCAAGAGAGAAGAGTACATACAAAGCTGTTTGGGCTTCCGTCACACCTAGTGTTAACCCCAGGAACTGAACTTCCTCCTCCTGCATGGGGCTGACGGTAGGTCCAGCATCTAGGAGAGGACAACAAAGGGCAGATGATGTAGTCATCAGATCAGTGTTAACCTTTATTAAGCACAAGCTAGATCCTTGGAATAGATAAGTCACACAGGTATCCAGAGTGAGCACATTGCTGAGGTGATGGGATGCGTCCCTTTCACTGAGTTACTGAACCTCTGAATGAAGTACTTGTATTTTTTAAAAATCTGTGAACAATTAAAAGGGATACTTATCTCTTTCTTTTCTATAGTAACTTATGCTTTTTCAGTCATCAAATATTGGGTCTCTACATCATGCCAGGCACTGTTTGCAGTCATTGTATTAGATTCTCATGTCATCCTGGTGGCATGTGCCTCGTTTCTTGCCTAAGGTCTCGACACAGTTAGTGGTAGGGCTGGGACAAGAATCTAGACCTGCTCTTCCCAGACCAGGGCCTACTTTCTAGGTAACATTAACCCTGAGTTCCTTTGTTCCATCCTAAGAATGTCTGAAGCATTAAAAAAAAAAAAAAAAAAACTGGTCGAATGAATGAGGGGAATGGAAAGGCAGGAGGGTAGAAGAAAATAGACCAAAAAGCCCCACTAACCCTCTGGCTTTAGTCCCTCCCCGAGCCACATCTCACCTTCTGGCTGGAGACAAGGGTGTGGCCCCACTGCAGGGTTAGGGAAGCCGTTGCACCGGACTATAGAGGCGAAGAGCTTGGCTGATGCTTTGGGGATCCTTGGCAGAGAAGGGTCCGTGTAGTTCACAAAATGCAGACCAAACCTCTCTGCGAAGCCTGTGGCCCACTCAAAATTGTCCATCACACTCCAAACCGTGTATCCTCGAAGGTCCACCTTATCCTGCACAGCTGCTTAAATGCAGAGGCCACGGCATGAGCTTCCTTCCTTTTGTATTACAGGACACCATTCCGCCCGGCCTACAAAAGCCATGCCTGCCTGCGACTCGCCCACAGTCCCCACTTGCAGGTGCAAGTCCTCTGTGGATGGACCTACAGAGCCATCAGCATGTTTCTAGAAAGGCTCAGCCCTGAACGGGAGTCAGGAACATGGGTAGACTACATTAATCCTGCTGAGTCCTCTGTGATCCTCTCTCTGCATGTGGGGATACCAGTCTTGGGCAGTGCCTTAGAGTGTTAATACTTCTTCCTAAAGAAAGTAAGTGGCTCTTGGAAAAGATTTTCACTGGAATACGACTTTCTGTTTGTTTCTATTGCTGCAGTGCTCAGTGTCTTTGACTCAGGGTTAAATAGTCCCTTGTCCTAGTCCCATCCCAGGTGGTTCTGCTGAGCTGAGGGTCTCAAACTTCTGCTTGGGGAACAGACCCGACAGACACTCCGCCCACCCCCAGCCTACTCCTCCTAGCCCCTGCCCTCATCAGAGCGCTGCTGTTCAGGGACGATCCAGCAGGGAAATGACCCTGGCCAGGAATTCAGGCCTCACTGTATCTGGCTACTGGGTTTGCTTGCTGAGCTTAAATCTAGGAAGGAAAAGACTCAGAGTGTAGCCTCAGAGAAAAGTTTAAACCCAGCAGGAGTGAGAAGCTGCCTCTCTGTCATGACAGGGTCTCATGAGTGCAGTACTCCTCTCACTGCAGACGTTAGCAGGTGTTTCCAACAGTGAAAGGTGCACATGGAGGAAGGGATAGGCCTGCCCTACCTTTGAGCGCCTCATTGATGTAACTGCGGAGGTAGGAGATCCTTAGAGTGTCGTTGAGGTCAGTTTCTCCACGTTGAGACACTCCATTCTCTGTTACGTAAATTAGGGGGTTGTTGTACTCCTCCTTTATCCAGTTCAGTATCTTCCTAAAGCCAAAAGGTGTCACCTTCAACCAGAAGGAGCCAGAGTCTGGCCAAGAACGATCTGTGATGGAGGCAACTCCTCTATAGGTTCAAACACGAGAGATTTGGTGTCAATTTGTAAATCCCAAGAGGCCTTTGGCACAAAACACAAAACAGGATTTATACTAAGAAAAGCCTTAGGTTTAGTCTAGACTTGAAAATCATAACTAAACCTAGAATAGTCAAATTGCCTCATATTCTCCTAGTTGTACTGCTCAATGCCCGTGTGGCTTTGACAGGCCAAGTCGGCTCTGTTTCCACCTATTCAGAGAATGGTCTCTACTCATGGACTAGACCCTCTGTAGGCGCTCTGTTAATAGACCATACTTCACAACAGATGTGAAAGGTCTCTGGGGTTCCCTGATCACAATCTCCAGTGGGATGTGAATGCTGTGTCAGGAGAGAGAATGGGCTCCCCTGAGTCAACTACATCTAGTCAACACCACAGGTGTGGCCACAAGCACCAACAGTGTGTGTGACATGACAACAGGGAGCAGACAGGCTGGGACCTGCTTCCGATGCCCAAGACCCTGCCTCTTTTCAGTGATGAGCCAGGTGAGGGCAACAGATTGTGCTAAAGGAGCATTTGCTGGGGGAAACACAGAAACTTGAGTGTCTCCAGAGTCATACATTTCAAATAAGGACCAATTATTTGGATCTTCGTGTCCAAATCCTTCAGAAAAAAAAACACAAAAACATAGTCTTAATCAGTAACTGAATTTATCTTGCTCAGCCAAACTGGACCCGGGACATTTCATCCTGGGTCAAGTGCAAGGCCTGATGAGGCAGCAAGAGTCCAATGGGTGCTCAGACAGGGACCAGCAGGGGAGTGTTCTCAGCCCCCCTCAGCAAGTGACTCTGGGGGTTGCAGGATGCAGTGGGGCTGTAGCTGTTTGTTTTCAAAGAACCTGGATGGATTCACAGCTGATGGAAACATGCTTGTTATAAAAGGAATAAAATAGGGGCACCTGGCTGGCTCAGTTGGTGGAATGTGCAACTCTTGATCTCAGGGTTGTGGGTTCGAGCCCCATGTTGGGTGGATATTAAAAATAAAATCTTTAAAAAAAAAAAAGAACAAAAGAGTATATACATATAATACTGGCTTTTGGTAATATATTTTTGTGTATAAATACTACCAAACTATATATTACTCATGGTTTATAATATATATACTTACATATTATATTTATAAAGAGAAAAAGAGGTCATATACCTCTACACATACACCTCTCCTTGCTTTCTAATGTTTCCACTGTGACTGTATAAGGCAAAAATAACCCTTTTGACCTTTACCCCGAAAAGGGAAAAAAACACCTATTATTTTGACTTAAATACATCTGGCAAGGGAAACAAACTTGACAGTAGAAGCAAACCAAGGGAAAGAAAATCGCAAAATCTTGATAACGTTTGAAAGAAACTCCAAGCATGTCTGTCTCCATGGGAAGCACCCTGGAAATCCTAGCTGGTATTACTAGCAGACTGACAGGTTTCATTAAGTATCACAGGAGTGGACTCCTCTTTAAACCCCAGGGTGTATGGCACCAGGAGGCGGCTTTCTGAGGCTGTGCAGTAAGGCTGGGCAAAGGGGCACCTGCTGTCATCTCCAAAGATAGTTCTGTGTGCCCTGTTGGCCAACTTACCTGTCTGCATCAAAGGAAGAGATCCAAGAGGCATAGTCAAGGTTGTAGGCCAGGACGGTGGTGTAGTGATTGAATCCAAAAAAGTCATAAGTGCCATTGATCCTCCTCTTCTCACTTTCCGTGAACTCTGGGAGCCTGGTGGGAAGGAGACATTGAGAGTGTGGGGCTGGAGCATCATGCTTTGGGAAGAGAACGTCCTGGGGCAGGGTTGGGGGAGCACTCTGAACTACAGGCCTGGTGGTGACGAGGGGGGCAGCTGTTCAGGAGCAAGGAGAGGTCCTTCCAGCCGCTGCTGAAAGCACCTGAGGCTCCTCCCTCCAGACCATAAACCTGCAAGACCCTCCTCTTCCTGTTGGCCAAATGAAAATACGCATGACTGGGGCACCTGGGTGGCTCAGTCGGTTGAGCATTTGACTTTCAGCTTAGGTCATGATTTCACAGTTCATGAGTTCAAGCACTGCATCAGGCTCTCTGCTGTCAGCAGAGATCCTCTGTCCCCTTCTGTCTCTGCCCATACCCTATTTGTGCTCTTTCTCTCAAAAAAACAAAAACAAAACAAACAACTACCAGTGACCATTTTACAAACCTTCCTTTCAGGGTCAACCCCCTCTCCCCCATGGACATTATGTACATACATGTACACATACATGGATACATTTTAATTTACTTCAGAAATTAACATGCAACTTTGATATTTACCATCTGAGATAAAATACCATCTAAGATACTTACTATCTTTGAAATCAAGAACATGTCTGAGATAACACCCCTTGAGACTAATCCTTGATGTTCTCAAGGTTATAGTATCTTTTGTAATTTGTGTTTCCATAATCTGCCCTGAGTTTCTCTGTTGTTTTTGTTATGGTTTGTTTAGGCATGCCTCTTTTCTCCAAAGTCCATCCTTATTAGCAGGGGAAATATTTTTTAAAATTTATTGAACTTTTGAGACTTAGACTTTTATGCTCACGTGATTTTACTATTTTTTTTTTTTTAACATCTGGTGGAGCATTTTCCACATGTACTGTAGGTACTCAGAGACTTTTTACAAGATGTGACTAACATGCATTTGGGTGCAGCACCGATAGATTCCTCTCAGCCGAATCTGATTACTTACGTGCTCTGACAGGGTAACACTGGGGCTGCTAATTTAGGATGTTAGCTTAGAGATGACCCTTCTTGGGCACCTGACACTTTCATCCTAAGATTTGTGCTACCTTGTTAACCTAGTAGATCAAAACCTTCCCTCACTGGGGTTTCTGAAACACTGGGAGAAAATTAAAGCCCAGATCTCTCACCCCCCTCACTCTCTTGCCCAGGAGCCAGTAGTGACTCCTTAGGGTTTGTGGCATCAGCGCTGAGCCCCTGTGTCTGGCCTCTAGGCCCTCTGTTCTGTGGCCTTGCCCCCCACCCCCACTGCCACTGGGGCCAGTCCCCCCAACTCTCGGCTGCAGGTACCCCACTCATTCCCTCTGGGCCAGTTCTCACACCCTTCCCCTCGGATGGAATACCCTTTTCTCTCCCACACGCTATTCGTTGTTGAGGCCCGGCTTAACTGATGTCCCCCCTTGTCCACAAAGTCTCCTTATCCTACTTGGCCTGCCCAATCTCTTCTGAGTTTTCTTTGCATGAAGAAATTAGGGAAGAGAACTCCTTGGAGTGGTCAAGTCACTGTCTTCCCAGCTGGCGTGTCGGCAGCTTGAGGAGCCAGACTGAGAAGCCTCTCCTCACGTGGACCTTGCTGGGCCTGACCCTGACCTGGGCACACAGTAAGTGCCCAGCAGAGTCGTGTTGATGGACTGGAGGGCTGACCTGCTTGTTACAGACCAGAGTTGGCAGATCAGACCTTTAGGCACAGCCTGCTCAGCAGGCTTGCCCCCACCAGGTCAGGAGTGCATTGTGTGGATGGGGACTGGGTTGTGTAACCTGCACAGCTGGGCTACATAAGGGAAAGATGAACACGCTAGGTTAGGAATTCGTGCTTCTTGAATTGCTTTTAGCCTCCCCTGCTCACGGTCACATAAGTTCCCTTGGAGTTTGAGGGTACATTCCCATAAAGCCAGGTCACTCCGTTCCTCTCCACACACACCTCTAATCCCAGCCAGATGACTCTCAAACCTGGAGGGTGGGCCCTGGAGTCAGCCTGGTTTCAAATCCCAACTCCATCACTTCAATAGCTATGATCTTTGTGCCTCAGTTTATTCCTCCTTAAATAGGACTAAGAGCATCAACAGAAGGATAAATGTTAGGTGTTGATATTGCTCTTACTCCCTTGACAGAGGAGTGGTCCAGAAGTAGCACATCTTTAGTGCAACCATCACAACCTACTGGCCAAATGACAAAAAGCACATGCCTGGCCATCACCCACTGCTGCTCACATTCACTGGTAACATGATGATCTAGTAAACAGAGAAATTCATCCTTGCAGTGAGGGAGAGGGTAGCTAAGCAGTGGGGGCCCCTGGGACACATTTCCTGGCTGTTCTGCAGAATAATAATCACATCTACCTTTTGTCAAACACGTAGCAAAGCCCTGTCCTTGGCTGAAAGCTTCACATACACGATCATGTTCGGTCTTGCCAGCAATCAGGGAAACTTAGAGAGTAGCTCTCCGACCCCAACAGCCACACTCTGAACACTGAGCTGCCCACCTGGAGCCTCAGTTCAGCATCCCAGACCAGACTTCCTCCTGACCCTTCCCCGGCTGAGCGTGTGGGCACCAGGACCTACCGAGACTTGCTGAGGCCTGCGGCCAAGCTCCTGTCACGGATCCGTGTCTTCATCACCTCGTTGTAATCACCATTCTTGAAAATAGGATGTGCAAACCAGCCTCCCATGAACTGCAGGTGGGGTTGGGGTGACAGCCTGGCATTAATGGGGTGCGGAGGGCACACCTGGAGACAGCAGCTTCCCTGCCCATAAGTCACTGACCTTGGAACCACCCTCCTGTCTCCCCAATGCCCAGTCTTAAACCCGCATCTCTGTGGCTGCATGCACGTTCCAGCTTAAATGCCCACACATCTTCTCACTTTGGGGGCAGGGCCGCATTCTCAACCCCTGCAGCTCGAAGGGCGACGCACTTCACTTAGCACTGCCTCAGGACTCAATAGGTGCTGCCTGCCTGCCTGCCCTTAGCAAGGTGCTACAGAAGACCAGGAGAGACCAGAAGCCTCCAGGCTGTGGATGTCCTCTTACCACAAATCCGGCCCTTCCCCATCATCCTGCCTAAGGATCAACCAGAACTTTCTGGGGAGGGCTGAAATTCAAGGCTTTCTTGGCTGCCCAAGGCAAAGGATGATTCTTCATGAGCTTTGGATTCACAGTCAATCCAACTTTTGGGGAACTTTTCAACCTATTTTCTTGAATGGGGTCTAGGTCATCCTTACCCTCAGGGAGGATACGGGACACGAATGCTATGATCCTGGGGTCCTGAGAGGCTTCTTTGACCTTTCCCCATCTTCCCCTCACCTGCTGGTTGATGCCTGAAATGTGGGGTGAGGGCAGGCTTCCATTCTCAGAGAGGAGGCTTTGGAACACACACACCCTGGCAAAAGAGGCTTCGCACACTCTAGGTAACAAGCCATTCCTTTCCGTGGAAGCTGATTTTACTATGGTGTGTGTGTATCACAGTTCACCGACAAGTGGCTCAATCTAATGAGATTAGAGCCTAGTATTTCCTGAGGTTCAGGGTTTTGATTTCAGAAAAAATGATTGCTTTAATTTACCAGTTTTGTGACTAAAATGAGGGATGCATTAATTTTGTTGCAAGACTTTTTCCCCAGCTAACAAATGGGAAAATTAAGCTCATATTTGCATTCATTAATTTGATCTCTATTACCAACTTCTCTTGTGAAAAGTCTGGCAAAACAAGACCCATATTGTCCCCTCAGAATGCTGCAGTCTGCAGGCTCCTCCACAGAACTAACAAGTGGGGACCAGGGGCACCTGGGTGGCTCAGTTGGCTAAGCGTCCGACTTCGGCTCGGGTCATGATCTCGCGGTCCGTGGGTTCGAGCCCCGCTTCGGGCTCTGTGCTGACAGCTCAGAGCCTGGAGCCTGTTTCGGATTCTGTGTCTCCCTCTTTCTCTGACCCTCCCCTGTTCATGCTCGCTCTCTCTCTCTGTCTCAAAAAAATAAACGTTAAAAAAATTTTTTTAAAAAGTGGGGACCAGTGTGGAGAGAGAGAGACCCTTGTTTTTGATGCTGAAACATGGGAGAGGGTGCTTTCTAATCTTGTCAGAGACACAAGCAGGAACCAGGGAAAAGCTGTGCCCTGACAAATGCTATTCTTTTTTCTCATGTCAGGGGCTCACACTGAAATAAGGATGGTCCACTGCTTACGAGTGACTCTACTTCCTAGGAGCAAAATCTCATGACCAAAGGTGCATGTCCTTATGTTAAAATTCAGAATTGGAAGATCAGGGGCACTAATGAGTTTCACACCCTACTCAAGGAATTCTTAGGCCAAGTAAATAAAATTAAATGGTGACACCTAGAGGTGAAGTGTGGCATTGCAGCCCTGCTCTATCAGCTACTACAGTCAAACCAGAGATTGAAGAGATGGCATTTCTGTTAGTTACCTTCAAGCCAGTGTTGCATGCAGCAAGGACGTGTACAAATCATTTTTAAGACTTAAAAGAAAACTCGATCCCAAAGAACTTTGATCACAGCAAACCTATGATATGGATAGGTCATCTCTACTTCATACATGAGGAAACTAAGGTATAAAAATGGCTAAGTGATCTCAAGTTCACAAAATAAGGTAACAGAAAAACAGGGTCCTCAACCTAAATCTTTGTTTTGTAATCCAATTCTATTTCCATTAGCTCACGACAGGAGGGAAAAACAAGCGAGAGTAATAACAATGACCAAAGGAAAAACAGACCTGAACGTATCTCCTGGCTGCCTCCACATCCTCCTGGTTGGAAGGGTCTCTGGGCTCAGCCCAGTCGCTGTTGATGGTGATGGAAATCACACCACCTTGACTGGCACGGTACACATCATTGTACAGATGCCAGGCCTCAGCATGAGCCTTTATTAGGTTGTGGCCAACAACGTAGGGGGCAGTGCCAGGCCTAAAGGAGATTCCTGGAAACACATACATGGATGTCAATGAAGAATGAACATGGCCAAGAATATCACTCTCTGCCTATAGACGGCCTCTATGTTTGGGGGAGTGTAGGTCTGGGTGTCAGGAGGAAGGAAATTCAAATCCTGGCTTCACTTCTTATTTGCTGGCTGTGTAACTTTGGGTAATTCAGTCTTTCAGGCTCCTCCTTGGCAAAGTGAGCACTAGAGAGTTCTTGTAAGAAGGAAATGAGGTCGTGTATGTGAAGCACCAAGCAGCACTGTGTCTGGTGAGCAGACACTTGGTAAATGTTGGTTTCTATAAGTCTCCCCCAGAGAGTGGCTATGTCCCAAACTACCCAGCAAAGTATGTGCCTTGGGAGTTGACATCCTGGCAGATGGGGAACTAGAGTGGAAGGAGCATTGGACAATGTAGCTGATGGAAGCAGATGACAGATTCCTTGGGAGCGAATGCTGTGAGAAAGGTCACCTCTCACGTGTTGAAGAAAGTTGAAGGAATGGTAAACCAAAGCACCAACCAAGGATCAAGGGGAGATAAATGTGGTAACGATTTGTGGCACTTTTCAGCTTTTACATGTGATCCTAAGGAATTGCGTAAACACAAATTTATTTTCTTAAGCTCAGAACTAAAGAAAAGGTAAACTGGATGGTTCTAAAGGTACAAGGACAGGTCCACAATCCCTTATTCGAAACCCTTAGGGTCCATATGGTTTGGAAGTACAAGGTTTATGTGTCTTAGAAAAGTAATAAGTTGCCTATAACATGTTTACACATCACCCTAGCAGGGCCCAGGAGAGCGCTCTGTAATCAAGGAGCCAAATGTGTCCGTAGCAGAAATGTTGACACTAAGTGGGATAATGCCCATGAGCAGCCTTATATTGGTTCAAGTGAGGATGAGCTCAGATCAGCCAAATCAATTCTTGGAAACTTTTGGATTTTGAAGTTGCAGAAAACACACTGTGGACCTGTACAGCCTGATGACTAGTCCTTCCCTACACCGATTAGACCATGTCCCTGATCTCGGGAAGCTTCCCATCTGAGGCAAGTCAAAAAAAAAAAAAA